AATTTTTTCTACATTTGCCTGTAATCGAATGGGTTAATCATTGGTTTGTGTACATGAGAAATGTTTACTTTTCACTCACATGTGATATAAGTCTATGTGTACGTTTGTATATGTACTTCTTAAACATGCTTTCAAAATAATGTAATATCTGTAATGTATTAATAGTGGGGGGGGGGGGGGGGGGGGGGGGTAAATGAGAGTTGGTGTGATGTGTTTGTAATCTGTTCTAATTTATTTTCTTTTGCTATTGTTGTACATCAAATGACTACTCTGCTGTAACCTGTCTGTAGAGGACCCCCACGGAAACGAGATGATGCATCTCATGGGGTTATTCCTCTTTAAATAAATGTTTAAATAAATAAATATACATTGCTATCTACACATTTACGACAACGGATACGGCTGTAAAGGGGACTGCCAAGGCACTCTGGTGTGTTGTTATTGATTCGAATGCAATTATTTTGTCAACTGAAATTATTATACACACAACAAATTCTTTCCATTCTTCATCTGATGTGGTTTTATTGTGCCAAAGTTTTGATCTTCGTTAAAAATCCAACTTTGCTGACAGCTTTTGAGATTAGTGTTTCCATGGAGATGGGAGCAGAGTCAGGAGGGGTTAAAAAGCCTGATTAAATTTCTCAGTATTTGCACGGCACCGGGAGGAGCGGGATTTAGCGGGTATGCCTGTCTCCTGCTGATTAGCTGTTTAAATTGCAGTTTGCGTTTTTGGCACGTACCTGTTTATCTCAATCTGTGAGTCTTGTGCACGGTTTAGTGAAGCTGTGGATCTAAAAAGTTTTATGACACCGTATACAATATCACTGGCTCATAGAACAGCCTATTAGAATTTGTTGGATCTGATCGCAATTTTTTTTGTAGAACATCAGGTTTCATTTTTTCTGTAAAGGGTCAGCTAATGTGCTTCTGATAACAAACCATACCTTGACATACTAGTATGGATATTCCTGACAATAGTCAACCTACTACCCTATGGACAAGAGCTTGTGGCATAATTGGCCTGTATTATGACCAAGTCATTGATAAAACAGATCAGAGGAATTAATTTACTGCATTTTAGCTTCTGCTAACATTGTCCATTTTGTGGACAATGTTAGCAGAAGCTATAGTATATGTATCAGAGTCCTTTATGTGTACCCAGATCCATATGGTCTTCAATACATGTCCTCTTCTTTATACTTTTCAGTTTCTTTCCATTAGTTCTAAATGAGTGGGATGTTTGTCAGAGGCAGAAGTTTGAGCAGAAGTTGTCTTTGAGGAGAAGTGCTCCTATCCCCCCCCTGCTGAGGCTGCCCCCTGTGGGACACTGACAGCTCTACGCTCCGTCCAGGTAGAAAGGCCCCCCATAGAGTGTTTGTGCTAATGCTGCTGTCTGGGTCATTAAACACTCTCCTCCTACTTCAACACCACTGTAAGTGTAGCTGTGGGAGACAGAAGGACAACACCTTTTAAACAAAGTTTTGACTCAGCTGCTAAACTTAATTGATCAACAATTCGGGCGTTCTGCTCTCCCAAAATTCAATCCGATGGGGGGGGGAGCGACTGAATTTTGCGTTGCATTATGGGTAACACTTGCCTTCGCAACTTCCGGATCTCTCTGCCCGGCGCATTTTCTCTAAATGGTTGAGTGTTTTCGTCATTTTCTGTATGCAAATACATTCCCGTCTCTAACTAGTGGCATATCGCGCAAATCATCCGTCCAATTCACATTCTTCCCTCTTAGCTGAACTTCATTCTCATTGTTACCATCTGTCACTCGCACACACAGCCGTTTTCGTTCACTCTGCTCGCTGTCATCTTCTTCTAAATCTTCATAAACACCATCCGCTCGTTGAACTAGCAACAACAATTCCTCCTTTCGTTTTCCCACACTGCAAATACCCTTTCGCTTCAACCTTTCACGCAATTCAGGCACTGTCAATCGTTTGTTGTTTTCGTGAGCCATATTCGCCATTGTATGAAATCAACCGGAAGTGAACTGGGCAACAAACGGTGTCATTTTTTGATCACAGCGCCGCTCAGTGGATGAAATTTTGGGAGAGCAGAACGCCCGAATTAAAACACATCTGCAATGTTGTGGAGATTGTGGTTTAAAGAATATTGGATATTTAGTACACAAAATATACATGTGACATACATTAGGGGTGTGCTTTGTGCACTACGATATGTATCACAATACATTGGTTATAATACCATCCATCCATCCATCCATTTTCTACCCTTTAATCCATTTCTGGGTCAGGGGGGTGGCAATCAGAAATGCCACCCAAGTCTCATAGCACCAGCCCCTCACTGATCCTCTGCAGGTGGTGATTCCACAGGAGAACGGCTTCTCTCTGAGTGTGAGCATAGCCTTGATCTTTCAGTGGGGGCTTTGGGCAAAGTAGGGTTAAGTGTCTTGTCCAAGGACACAACGACAGCAGTCATCAGTGGGTTATAATACCATACAATGTATAATGCAAACTATAATGGGATCTTTAATCTTAATAAACAATGCAATGTGTTAAGTTTTACAAAATTATTCTGTGGCCAATAAGGGTGGACGATAATTATCATAGGCAATAATATTGTGAAAGTTATTTTGGCAATACATTTTTTCACATTATTGTGGGAAAACGTCCCTAAACCCTAAAAGTAGTCAAGTTATCATGTGTTTTCAAATAGCAATGGAATTGACCAGATGCCTATGTCTCCAAAAGTTAAGAAAAAATATTTTGGAGCGGGCCGATAGAAATAAACTAGTGCTGTCCAAAATATTGCGTTATTAACGCGTTAACGCAAATCAATATTAACGGCGTCATTTTTTTTATCGCACGATTTATTTTTTTTATTTTTAAACAAAATTCTTTTTATTGCAGACAAACACATATACAGAAAAAAAAAATAGAAACAAAGAAAAGTGTGTGACTAATTTGCGATTAATCGCGAGTTAACTATGAAATTCATGCGATTAATCACGATTAAATATTTTAATCGTTGGACAGCACTAAAATAAACCAATGGGATTCGTTCATTCCCAACAAACCAATGGGAAGTGTTTACCCCCTTCACCCTCTTCCTGTTTCTTGCAAGTGCGTGCACCTGAGTTATCGGATTTTCTAAAACCTAAAAGGGCTGAACAGAAAATGCCAATTTCAATTGGCAATTGCCAATTAATGTAATCAGGTTTTTTTTATCTTAAATGTTGCAGAAGCACTTTGTTCCTAATATGCATATTGAGTTGTCATTTTATTTTTGAATGAAGAATTGGAAATAGTTTCAATTTCTTCAAAAACATGAAATTACTGGAACTGACTCAGTCTTTGAGGTTCAATAATAAAAAAAATACTTCGTTAATTGGCATGTTTGTATTTGCTGTAGGTTTTAGAGGTTTATTTATCCTGTAAAAAATATTGTTTAACAAGATATAAAAAAAAATTCCTCCATATCAACCTGCTATAGTTTATTTGCAAAATAAAACACATTTTTGAGTTCTCACAAGACTTCCACCAAACAACAAATGCCCTCAACATAAAGAGAATGATGGGGGAGTGAGGTATAGGGTCAGAGAGTGTTTGAGCCTATGTGTGTTTTGTCTGGATGGGTGAGTGTTTGGGTTGTTTGTGTTTTTGTTTGTATTGAATGAGTGAGAGGTTGAATCCAATTATGTCTGCTTTGTACCAACCCCCTTGTGTTTACTGTGTGTTTTGTATTGGTTTTTAAAGCTTAAAATACAGCTATAAATCTATACCCATCCAGATAAAAAAGTGAATCGAAGCAAGTAGTGGAGGCAACAGTGATTAGTTATATTCACAATAAAATATTTGCAAGCTAATACTTGATTTTTATGTCAAACGGAAGCATGGAAGCAAGGGTTAGGGTTAGATAATTTATTACCTTAACTTTTTTGTGTCTGGCATGTCCAGTCCTGCCCTCTTATGTTTCAAATTGAGGCGGACACACATGGTTAAAGCTGCTGCTCGGGCCATCCTGCAGAGCCAGGGAGGGTTTCACAGTGACAGACAGGAGCTGGCGCCCGACCAGGAGACGAGATAAAGACGAAATCATTGAGTCAATCAGGCCCGGGCTGCGGTGCAATCACCACATCTCATCTGTTTTCAAGAGCAATTCTGCCTTTTATTGAGCTGTTGTGCCTCAAACAGAGAGCTAGTGAGGGGTGGGGGTTTAACCCTTTCAGAAGCCCTTTGCAGGTTTGCTGGTGACTCCTTTGGATCTGAACACAACTCTCAGTGCTGGTACAAGGCCAAATGAGTCTAGTTCGACAACATGGGGAGATCATCTATAGATATGTATATGTTTTATTATACAATATGTCTTTGAGGTTAATCACAATCAAATTGATACAGTAGCGAAACAGTAGCTATTTGATGGGTTTCTCAAAAATAATGGTGAAACATTTGTGGAAAAATGCTTCTATGATGAAGTGTTGAACATTGGCACGGCCTTGCCATATCTCTGCATCTGGACTGTCCATTGTATGTAACTGTACATTTTTATTTCAAAAAGTTGAAACTTGGACATCCCTCAAGATCCTACATCAATTCAGAAAAAAACGAGGTCTGAGATTAACTTTGAAAATTATATCTGTTAAATTCTGTAAGACTCTTGAAACTAACAACCCTGAACAGACTCAAATAAATAAAGAATAAATAATTGATCCCTGTTTTCTCTTCCTCCTGCACACAGCCACTGTTTTTTGCTTTGTTTAACATGTTATGTGATACAATAATGTTTTGTCAGTGGGTTTTTTCCACATTTGGGAAAAACCTGCTTCTTGCTTATGTGATCTGCTGCTATGTTGGGACTTTGTTGTAATGACAAGCGCATATTTTGTTCTTCTTAAGTTATTTAAATAATCAGTGAGATTCAAAAGTGCCATTGTTTACAGTTTAATATCAGACATACACACAATCTTCTATTATACCACACCGTCTGTCTTTATGAATATTATAACAACATTTTAACTTGTCCTCCCTAAGACTTGAATCGAATGGTTGGCGCTGAGGCCTCCAAGCCGGCGTATGGGTGCCAGGTGACCATCCTCTCGGAGCAGGAGAAGCAGATGCTGAAGCTGTACCGCAGGGAGGAGAAGAGGGAGAGGAAACGTGGCAAGGCTACAGACGACAATGATGGCTTTGAGGCTCCCCTAAACTTTGACCCCAGAGAGATGAGAGCACAGCGGTACGAGGCCATTCTTCTACTGTTTTTATAAACCCTCTGGCCACCTGTGGTCTCAGACAGACTCTGACTGGGTGTAGTACTCAATATGTTTGGTTGTGCCTTGTATAGTTCAGGTTTTGTCTTTACGTCTGGTATTTCTACTGTATGACTCATCTCATCTCTACATGCCACACACAAGTAGGGGTGTGACGATATATAGATTTTTCGATATATCGCGATACTTTCTCCCGCGATTCGATTATTGATATGCATTTGCCAAGCATCAATATCGATTTTGAATTTTTTTTGTTTTTACTTTGTTTTTACTTAATTGGTATCAATACTTAATATATGGCTACATTACACATCTCCATTCTATTTATCATGAAATAAAGAGTATTTTTTCTTTTATTTATGCCATAAATTGGTATATTGTATATTTCTGACCAATATATCAATAATCGTCATATCGTGATATTATCGTTATCGTGATATTATCGTTATCGTGAGCTTTGTATCGTGTATCGTATCGTATCGTGAGGTACCCTTAGGTTCCCACCCCTACACACAAGTCAGGCTCAGAAGTTAGAAGACTAAATGAGGGCATTAAATTAATATAAAATATTTGTATTTTATATTACTATATGTACTTGTATTTAAAAATATGTATTATACTGCTCCTCACAGCAGCAGTAGAACGCTCCATTGATTTGAATATAATTTTCAAAACGTTCTACTAGTCATTATTTCTTGAAAACGGACCGCTGAAATCAATAATGACCGCTACCCATGGCAACGCAATTTAAATGTTAATCGGATAAATCATTATACAATCTCAATACACATGCACAGAGTTTACGTTTTCATGAAAAAAATACTGTTTTAATGCCACAAAATTCCATCACGGTTAACCCGGAAGTAACCATTAACATTAATTTTGAAAAATAGGACGCTTTTACAGAGGATCGGATTATCTATAGGTTGAGTGTACATGTGTATATGGGTCACTCACCGCTGATGTTCAGAATTCTTTGTTCAGTTTTCATGTAGTTCGAGAGAGTTCTAGTTTTGATGTAGCTAGCTTAGATGTAACTCGCCTAGCCACGGCACAGCAACATCTTTGGGAACTATTTTATTTGCAGTCATTAAACAATCCTTTCGGAATTCATAAAAGTGGACTATTTTGTGTGTTCAGTTTACAGATAGCCGTATAATAAACGAGGTAATGTATGGAACGCAGGTCATTATCGGAAAATAAGTACCGGGGTCCGCCACGTTGGTCCTTATTTTCCGGTAATGACCTGCGCTCTAAACATCCCTTATGTATATATTATGTCATGGTTAGAATATATCAATATTTTTAAATTGCCATTGATTTTATTTTATTTTACACTCTTCTTGTCTTGATTTAGTGTGTAGACTTTGTTTAGTCCTGGTCCAAATTCAGTTCTGGTTAAGTTCTGATTTTTGTATTTGTAAAAGGCCACCAGCTGTGTTTGCACCGACCTCTTTTTTATTTTATTCACTCTTTATATAGGGAACAAGCTCTCCTGAATGCTCGTCGTGAACCAGTGCTGTTGAGGTCCAGAACCTATGAACCAGTCCGATATCCAAACGTCTACGACTGCTATGCTGAGGCCACAAAGGCACCAGCCTTTGTGGGAGGAGCCAGGGTAAGAATATTTTTTTTCATTACCTTTTGTCTCATTGCGACCATAAACATGGCTGTATTTTGTTGGCATTTTATGTTGGCATTGAAAGACAAATATAAAAATTACAGACAATTGTGATGTGAAATCAATGTGACTACTTAAGACATTGAAACGGATAAAGCGGGAGAAAAATGATGGATTGATAAAAATAGAAATTTGAAAACCTAAATCTGACAGAGCTTCAGTCACACAATAGTTACACACACAATACAATTATGTAAAAAATCCTTGCAATCCTTGATTAATGTTTGTGCATTGTTAGGACTTTTTCATATCAGTCTTGATCTGCGTGTATGTTTGTTCAGAGCAGGTAATTTGCATTATATCATGAACATTTCTTGTGTGTACATTTTTGGAAATGTACACACATGTAATTTTCTTATTTCTTATTTTCTTATACACCAACATTATTCGTACCATTAGTGTAACCTTGACATGACATTAAAATAATTGGTATTTACTGTAAATTGCTTTCAATTAGAATTATATAGGCCTTTAATGAGGACAGAGTGAACTGCTTCAGGACACAATTAAGTGGTTTTTCAACACATTAGACTCAAACCTCTATAATGCAAAAAGGGCTCTGGTCATGTGATATCAAAATAATGTAAAGGGCTTTTTCATGAGAGTCAGTTTTATATTACATGCTGTTGCCTAGAAATCTCACAATTTGGTTTGTTCAACAATGAATTGTGATTTATCAGCCCCCATGTGAAAAGTAATGAACTTTATCTTTATCTTTTATCTTTTACTTTTGTGTCAGTAAGGACCAGTGCAAAACCATGAACACTGTACTTTAAGAGCTACTTACTGTAGGACTTGCTGCTGTTTATAGCGCATCTTGGCTTGTCTGGGCATCCTTGGGTTAGATAATTCTTTATGGATCCATAGAAAGCAAAATTCAAGCATTCATTGTTGCGGTTGGTTGTTGCTGCCAAATTATTTTTGCCAATAAAATGTTTGTGGCAGATATTCATCAACTCTCGACATGCCTTGGGAGTAACAACCTCACCTCCAAATATTCTACAAAATAATGGTTTATATTTTTTCTCTATACACTATTGATGTAAGACCTATGTTGTATTTGTGTGACATTTAGTTGCTGCTCCCCGAGGGAATTCGCAGAGAGAACACTAAGATGTTTGAGGAGGTGGAGATCCCGCCCAGTGACCCCATGCCCATCGGCTTTGAAGAGAAACCAGTCTACATCTCCGAGCTAGACGAGGTACCACACAATAAATGTAGAAAATTCATTTTGTCTTCTTATGTTTATGACTTTTTAGGTTCTTCTAATAAGACAATTAAAGCAAAACCAAGCTAGTGCTGCTTAATTACCTGACATGTTTCGGCGGTACACTTCCGCCTTCATCAGAGGTGACACGTGATGGTGTGACGCGTCTCTTATCAGCTGTTGTTGCCGGAAGCAGTCAGTCTGACAGATCTCACAGATCCATCAGACTGACCGCGTCCCCCGCCGCGCTGTGGTCTCTGGAGAAGTGAGTCCCAAGTGTGAGCCAAGGTGAAAGCCCCCTCGTCTCTGTTGAGCATCAAGACTACAGTATATAGGAAACCAAGAAGGACACATAATCCAAGCACTCAAGGTTTGTCAATATCCCAGATGGGCAATACAGAAAGGAAGACAACAGGTACTAAACAAACAAATCACACAAAAACAGAGAAAAAAGCAACCACAAAAACACAATGAACACAAAGACATAGTCACCATACCATACATACAAGGGGTCACGGAGCAGATACAGAGAACACTCGGAAAACACAACATCAATGCAATAATCAAACCACACAAGAAGCTCAGACAGATCCTCGTTCACCCAAAAGACAAAATACAACCGGAAAAAAGTGCAATGTCATATACAAAATACCATGTAGAACCTGCAATAAAACATACATCGGGGAAACGGGGAGAGCTTTCAGCACCAGAAGAAAGGAACATCAAAAGGAATGCGAAAAAGAAACGGCAGCACGACTAACAAGAGCAACCAAGGAAAAGGCAACACAGGAAAACCTGAAATCAGCAATATCAGACCACTGCAAAAGAGAGAATCACATCATGGACTGGGACAATGCAAAAATAGTAGGAACAGAAGAACATAAATACAAAAGATGGATACGAGAGGCGATCGAAATCAGGAAGCGGGGAACACGGACCATCAACAGAGACGAGGGGGCTTTCACCTTGGCTCACACTTGGGACTCACTTCTCCAGAGACCACAGCGCGGCGGGGGACGCGGTCAGTCTGATGGATCTGTGAGATCTGTCAGACTGACTGCTTCCGGCAACAACAGCTGATAAGAGACGCGTCACACCATCACGTATCACCTCTGATGAAGGCGGAAGTGTACCGCCGAAACATGTCAGGTAATTAAGCAGCACTAGCTTGGTTTTGCTTTAATTGTCTTATTAGAAGAACCTAAAAAGTCGTACCACACAATGTTATGACACTGTGGCTCTCATGTGTTCAAACTCTCATGTACTTTTTGTCATATGCTTTGGATAAAATGTGAGATAATTGTGACATAATCATGATCACATTGCACGTATACAGTGCTCCCGTTTGAAAGTCAGTTGAGCCTCTACATCTCCTGTAGGAGAACCATGTGTGACCCTCCACATTCAACTCCTACACAGGAGCATCCTTGTCCATGCTCCGCTATGATCTGCCTGCTCGTAGTAGTCTCTTTTACTCCCATTTGCGGTATATACTATAGTTATTTATATTTTTACGGTCCGAGACAGTACAAACACAAGTACAAATGCAGTCACAAATTGGCATGAGACAGTATTCAAGGTTATTATAATGTCTCTGTATCAATACCTTGATATTTTATGTTCATGGAAGTGAACAGCACATGATTTGGAAAATTCAATGTCTACTGTGAATAACCAAAAATCCTGGTTCAAGGCAAACAGGGTCTCAATCAAAAACCTTTTGACCTTAGTTTATACCATACATGGGTTAGATTTGAAAGCCTACTTTTTCCTCTTCTCAAAGTAAGTAATCTGCATGATTCCCCTTTAATATATAAACATAATTTTTATATATAATCCCATTAACATTGGTCAGCATTTTAACAGTAAAATGTCTCTGCATATTTTATTACATTTAATTGGCTGCTGTAGTACAGGTAAATTTCTATCTGGATGAACATGATTCCCCAGAGTGAAGTTCTTTTAATGGAAGTGCTGTAGCTCTCAGCGTCCTGTCACTGCCACAAAGACATGTTACTGCTACTGACATTTTTACTGACAAACTGTAACTGCAGCAGACTTGAGCCATACGCTTCCTCTTTGGGGTTTTAAAGTGGGTACAAAATCACACGTTGACTATAAAATCAATAGCATTAATGCTATTGTACAGATGTAAACATACTGCTGCTAATGTACAGATTTAAACATACTGCTGCCAACATGTACAGATGCTAACATATAACTACACTTTGCTTGCACTAGAATACACAGTACTTAATAATTGCCTCTTATTTTGCCAAATGTAAAACTTTTACACTTCTTTTATTATTATTTTCAAGATAGAGATTTTATACTTTAATTGATGCTAGAGTTAGAGATTTTGTTTTATTTTAATTAGTATAGCTATTGTTCACTTGACTTGTGCCGTGTGCTCCTCTTTCCTACTGTTCTTTAACGTGTGATGCAACGCTGAAATTTCCCCACTGTGGGGAAATTTCTTACTTAATCTTAATTAAAAATTCCACAATATAATTAGAAATGTAACATTTTTTATATATGTATGTTATGTATTACTTTAGCATACACCAAAATGCATGTTATACACAGAGATCCTAAGTGAAGTTCACATTCAAAAATTGTGTTGATATAAGCAAAATCTGGCTTATTTTTGGCTGGCTTTGTCTCTAGTATCTATACAGCTTCAACTCTTGCAATTTTTTGTCGCTTTATGACCTCATAAGTAACAATTTTCATGAATAAAAATGAATGGCTTGTGCTCAGTAGCGCATGGGATTTCACGGGCGCTGAGATATCAGTAGAACTCGGCTATACAGTATTTGGACATCGTCTGGTCCTCCCGATTCTGCGCAGCGGACGAGCTCCCATGATGCGTTGCGCCAAATACGCGTGTGTGGCTCTCAAGCAAGTGCACAGAGGGGCTCGGCCATGCTTGGACCAATCAGAGCTGCTGATTAGAGCAGTGGTAGAGCGGAGTAAGAGCGGGAAGGAAAACAGCAGAGTTTGTGGCAGTAAAATGTGGATTTAAAGAAAATAGAAGGATTTAAGAAGAAAAAGAGTTCACAATGACAAGGGACACTAAAATCCCCTCAAAATCTGATCTTTATGAAAGCTGTAGGTTCTCTGTCAGCTGAGGTCAAGCTGTTTGAGTTTACATTGAGTTCTATGGGGACAATTTCTGGGTAGCCCACGTGAATTTAGTCTGCAGTACCACGGGCATAGTTGGGACAGCTATAAGCTAGTAATACCCTATCCAGTTATTTTTATAGACAGGGGTGCACATAAGTGATACGCAGGTACGCATGCGCTACAAATATCAGAAATTCGTACTATCACTTGAGTTAGTAGCGCCTTTGCGTACTTCACGAAGACCATAGACCAGTCCTTCTCAAATAGTGTGGCGCTCCTCCCTAGGGTGGTGTGGTGCAATGCCAGTGTGACGGAGCATGTCCGTCTCTAGCTACATGCGCGAATATTGTATTATACTAAAGGCTGACTTTCATGCCGCACGCGCCACACACACACCAGCATGCACACACAAACGCTATTCCACACTCGTGCACCTTTTTTTCCCCCGTTCCATTCATACGCAACATCCACACGCATCATCCATTCTCTCGTCCGCCTCTCTCCTCAGTTACTAGTTTGCCAAAGGTGCACACTTGTGCTGGTTAGAAATACATTCAAGCATACATTTACACACACACCTACCGGTCTGTCACGCTCCTCTGGTTCTGTGCGCGAGGAGTGAACCAGGACATTATTTCCTGGTGGGTTAAATGGGAATTATGCCCATGTGATGAGCGCAACTAAATGTACATGTTTTGAGAGTATAATGATGTAATGTAATGTAATTTCTACCAAAATAATTTGCTCAGTGGGAGGGGCCAGGAGCCGTGTCCGCCGCTGGTTACAGACACGTTAACTTGAAACTTAATGGTGACCTATGTGTCAGTGTGAATTTTGTTGTAAGTATGCTCTGCACTGCCTTCACCATTTTTTTGCACTCTGGGAGTATAGAAAATAAACCCACCTCAGCGCTGGACTCCGAGCTCGCCTGTTTTATCAAACAGAACATTGTTTGATTTTTTTGTTTTGTTTTGCATTTTTAGAAAAGAGACCAGTGAGTCATTATTTGACTTGGATGGAGTGGATTATCTGAGCTGATCTAAACTTTAGCATTAAAAAGAAGCAAGTATAAAATCCCGATTAAGAACCACGACATATGGAGTGAGTACCAAACACCATCTCCTGGTACTCATCTGAAAACCTCACTGAAAAAGTTATGTGCACCCCTGATTATAGATCCATGCCTTATACCCATCGATCCATCCATTTTCTTCCCCTTATTTTTGGGTTGGGGGGACTGTCAGAGCTGCACCCAATCCTCATAACACCAGCCATATGTCCGTATACATCACATCTAATAAATGGAGCCTTGTTTATAATCTACTGCTATTCTATATTCCTTCTCTAAATTTAACATGCAGTTTCTTTTCCAGCACTCCACTTGTAAGATACTACAGTTTTACTGAAAATATACCGTATGTTGAGGCTCAAAATAGACACGTAAAATTCATTTGGGCTATTCAGAAGACATGCTCATAAAGTAGTTACAAAATAGATCCCTGTGGGAGTGGAAATCAGGCCCACTTTGGACTATAAAAATTGAGCCCCAAAGGGTCAAAGAGGTTAAGAACTCTTGCTGTAATCCACGGTTAAAGTTGAATCCCATAAACACACGTACCCTATACCAGACTCATCATACAAATGAAGTTCCTTCAGTCACTATAGCGCTTGTACTCGTCTGTTTGCTTTCCACTCTGGAGCTTAGCGGTGGCGCGTGTTTGAAAAGCCACAGTCATGATTGCCTGTGAAAGTCTCCAGTTGCCGCCCCGTCCATCTGAGTGCACTTTGTTATCCATCACAAGGACACCAGCGCCCGAGATTTTGGCGGGAACGAAAGGTCGACCTCCTCTCTCGCGACGCTGGCCTTT